GAGTTGGCCTTTGGGCCACTAAATGAAAGCCTGATCTAGGTTTGGGCCTTGCCTTGGAGGCATAACCCAAATGCCTCTTCTTTCTCCCTCCAACTGTCGGCTTCATCTGCAACAGTGAGGTGAATGATTCCTTGAAACCGAGCATCCTTGAGAACCAGCAAGGGACTGTATGCTGAAGGCTAGATCATCGGTTGCATGCAGGGAAGCAAGACATTAGCCCATTCAGTCTATAGATTATTGGCTTCCGAAGGTGAAGAAAGTTTCTGTGGTGGTCCCTCCACTTCCGGCAAGCAAGGTTCTGCGAGCACTGCCCTTCTCCTTTCCACTATACTCAATTGCATATGATACAAAGGGCTGAAAGAACACTGCACTAGTTGTCGGCTTCAGTACCCTTAAGAGTAAACATCCTTCTTGTGCCGCCTTTGTTCCTCTCCCTTAACTCCAGATATTGACCACTTCCTTTCTGCTAAGCCTGATATACATTGTTGAGCCTGTGGCCTTCCGGACTCGATTCCAAGAGTTTTGACCACAAACCTTGGATAATTTGCGCAGACTTTTGAACAATGATCTCTCTCTGAACCAAAGAAAAGGGAATAATATCTAGCCCTAAAATTATTTTCAGTGATTCTGAGAATATCCTGGACCTATCCTTCTAAGATAATATCAAAGGACATACTTTCTATCACTAGGAATTTCATAGGTGATAGGAAGGACATGGTAGGAAAACCGGAGAGAAAAAAGGAGTCAGACTATTTATATTTGAGTCTTGGATTTTTCACTTTCCAAATAAAATTTGTTTGGATATTTCAATTTCAACATAAAATTTCTTTCAGGACTTAAATATTTTGATTTTACTATATTATTTTGAGTTCAGATATACCTCTACTCTTTTATACTTCAGCCAATCCATTTTAAGGTAAAAAGGAACAAGGTTGTAGCCTTTAGGTGTAAAGAAAAACCATTCTTCAGTATAATTACTCAACAAATTTGAGTTCTTGAAAATTCTTTATCACTTCTTTTCTTTCTTTTTTTTTCATTGTACAAATTGTTTTTGTGGTGGGGGAGTGTGTGGGGTGGGAGATTCAAACTTTTGTTTTCTTTTTCTTTCCTTCCTATTGGTATCATATCTTTTTTTTCCCTTTAAGATTTCCAAAAATGCCTTAAAGTTTTTTAGGCTGAAAAGGCTGCTCCCTTTTGTGAGCATTAGTTAACTTGATTATTGGCTTTTGATGAAGCAGAGGCAAGCTGCTCAATGTGTGGGTCGAGTTATCAGGTCAAAGGCTGACTATGGGATGATGATATTTGCTGACAAAAGGCATGTTCTTTCTATTCTATTCTTTTTCCTAAGCAGTTAAGAGATTCATCAATTGAAGAAGCTTTGCTTGACTGAAATTGAGTACTCGATTTGATCTGAAATCAGAATTTTGAGAGTGTATCAAAACGTCTCTCTTAACTAGCAGTAAATTAAGTCATCAATTAAAATATATTCTTTAATGCCTGGAAATAACCTAAATGCTAGAAATATTAACCTAAGTCCTCTTTCTTGTGGTGCCATTTTCAGTACATTTAA